AATCATCTAAACCTCACGCGTGGCGTTTCACTGTCGGGGGGAGCGTGTATGTAATTACATTGCAAATACTGACTTGAGCCCCACCACTGTATGGGTTAGCCCTACCATAGATTACCCAACAAAAATACTCTGGAGCCGCAACTGCCGACCCGTATTGCGCATGCGCAGATCTAAGATCCAGTAGAAATGATAAAAAAGTAAAAGTCTGCTGCTTATTGTTCTACTAGGCCAAAATAGTCAAAGAGTATATGAGAGTGAGAGTGTGTTAATTAATATGTTTGGAGTAAGTCTGTAGATTTGTTTGTGTGTGTTTCATGTATAGGCCTCTCACGATAATTAATTTTGTTGGATACATTTTCCCGGAAATTATTGCGATAAACGATAATATTGTCGGCACCGTTGTATGACCATTTTAGACCACTGACATAATGATAATATATAATAATAATAATTCAAGTACATCCTTTCAAACTGCTAGTCACAGGGATGCAAACTTGTCACCTTTAGGCAAAATTCGCCGTTTTGAATCCAAAATAGGTTGTTTGTGTGATTCATGTAGATCTGCAATAAAAATATTTTTGGGGGGTGGGGGGGGTCTGGGACCCGGAGTAATCTGCGGCCGCGAGCTGTTATGTGCCATCATGACACGCATGGTGTTCTTTTTTTATATATTATAATGAAGCGCGAGCTGTGTGCTCGAGTCTTCCTGCCTATCGGCTCCGCTCATGGATGTATAATAAGGCTCTGCTGCTCCGGGATGAGGGTCTAGCTTCATTAGCTACATTACCTACGGGTGCGTTCGTTAATATTAACTGTGTGGTCCGGAGTCACTGTGGCACAGACTGGACCACCGCTGGTGAACAGCTGTTAGAACGGGTTCAGGTGTTCAGAGCAGAGCTCCCTGTTGGAGCAGCAGAGCGTGATGTGCACTGAAAAGTTTTTCTGTCGCAATATTATCGTTGAGCTAGCTAACTAGCATACATTGTCACTATCTGCTAACGTTAGCTTTAGCCTTCGTTTTCTAATAGTTCTATTCATAGGCTATAAACGGAGGTGGTATAAGTATAGATCTTGTACTTCAGTAAAAGTAGAAGTACTCAGATCTTGTACTTGAGTAAAAGTAGAAGTACTCAGATCTTGTACTAGAGTAAAAGTAGAAGTACTCAGATCTTGTACTTGAGTAAAAGTAGAAGTACTCAGATCTTGTACTTGAGTAAAAGTAGAAGTACTCAGATCTTGTACTTCAGTAAAAGTAGAAGTACTCAGATCTTGTACTTGAGTAAAAGTAGAAGTACTCAGATCTTGTACTAGAGTAAAAGTAGAAGTACTCAGATCTTGTACTTGAGTAGAAGTACTCAGATCTTGTACTTGAGTAAAAGTAGAAGTACTCAGATCTTGTACTTGAGTAAAAGTAGAAGTACCAGAATGTAGGAACAATCCTGCAATCAAAATGTTCCTCAAATAAAAGTACAAAAGTATTATCATCAAAATATAGTTAAAGTAGCGACAGTAAAAGTAGAAGTACTAAGGTCTTGTACTAGAAGTACTAGAAGTACCAGAGTGTAGGAATACTCTGTTACAGTAAAAGTCCTGCATTCAAAATGTTCCTCAAGTAAAAGTATAAAAGTATTATCATCAAAATATAGTGAAAGTAGCGACAGTAAAAGTAGTGATTGTGCAGATTGGTCCATTTCAGAATAATATATATGATATGTTTTATAATGATTGATCATGAAAGTGTTCTCAAAGCTGGTAAAGGTGCAGCTAGTTTGAATGACTTTGTATACTACAGAGTAGCTTGTGGATTTACTCCAGGTGGAACTAAAGTCTGATTTAAGACTTGATTATATTTCACATCATTCATCCACATCTGTAAAGTAACTAAAGGGATTAAATACCATTTACCTCTGAACTGTAGAGGAGAAGAAGAACAAAGTAGCAAAACATTGAAATACTTAAATAACGTACAAGTATCTCAAAATTGTACCCAAGTATAGTACTTGAGTTTATGAACTTAGTTACTTTACACCAGTGGCTATAAAGATAGAAAGACTAAGCCTTGAACAGAGGCATGAAAATACATTTTCAAAATGCTCAACAGTGCTGCCAAAATTATAAACTGACTGCTACACAATTAAAATAAATGCTTTTATATATTTCTATTAGATGTGACTCTTTCTGTTATTATTAACTGCTTTAGTTGTTCTGACTGCTAAAATCCTCTGTTATTCCTCATTTTAAAGCCGATATTCCGTGGGGTCGGGGGGCTCGGATCCTTGTCACCTTTTTCATACCTGATGAGTTTGCATCCCTGTAGTCACATCCTCATGTAAATGGCAATTTATCGAGGTCAGAAAAGTTATCGAGTTCATTTTTATTTATCGTACGATAAGTAAATTAATTGCTTATCGCGACAGGCACACAATAAAACAGTGGAAACAAACATGTTTGACTTTCATTAATGAATGAAACTGTGTGCCCTTTATAGTCTGTGTCCATTATTGTGTATTTGTATATATTGTATATATATCCTATATGCTAAGGTCCCGCTGCTGACACGATAGCAGTCATTTCGTGCGCATATGTGTAATTAAACCAAATTAAACCCATGATATCAAAATCTCACTCCAGCCAGGCACCCAAAGTTGGCAACCCTGTATTAACTTTAATACTACTTTAAAATTATAATACTAAGTGTTCTCATGAATGTTCTACTGACATAATGACTTGTTTCCTTGTCTTTACTTTGAAGCCACCCAAGCGAGAGTGCCCGGCAAAGATCGTGGCGTCTGCACCCCCACCTTCCCCTTGGACAGTCCACTGCTGCTCCTACAACCAACCATAGTTAAGAGACCACCAAAGAGACCTCGACTCAGCCTATCAGACGAGGAGGAAGGCCCCTCAGAAGGCGGTTCGTCTATGGGGATTAATGAACCAGGGAATTCAACATGACTGTGGACTCTTTGAGCAAGGCAGCAGGCCTTCAGCCGCTCCATTGGAACTGTTTAATAATACTGTAGAAAACTGAATGCTTTTAGGCAACTAATTCTCCCATTTGGTTACTGCTTTAAAAATGGGGTTTGTGGTCTGCCTGGCTAAATGTGTAATGTGTTTTTTTTTTAATAGTTTATATAGTTATACCTCAAAGTTTTTTTCTGAGAACAGTGCCGTTTCACTTCTCGAAACTAGACAGGGGTGGAGAAGAAGTTTGGATAATGCAATATCTACCGAAACCACAAAGATAGAAACAAACTAATTCCTATTTTCACTATCAAAAAATCCATCAGGACTGAGGCAAACTGATATGGATCGGTACAGCTTTTCACCATCATTGCTAATCAAGGGATGCTGAATTTAAAATGTACAAGTGTATCAGGGGAACGTGAAATCTTTGATATTTACCCAAAAGGACACTTTTTTTGACTACCAGGTTCAGTTTCAGCTCTGTGCTTTTTCCTGCAGCTTGAAGCTGGTTCATTTACTGTATTTCATGTTGAAAATGTAAGAGAAACAGTAACCAAAAGGGAAAAGATATGTTGACACAGATTTAAATGTAGCTTTTGGAGCTACTGGTTATGTGTGCCAAAAAGTATTTCGAGCAGGCCAGCAAGAAAACTGAGATTTAATCTATAGCCTGTGAATTGTCGGTGGCCGGATCCTATCTCACAGGTTTCTTCATTCAACTTGCTGTGTTCAGAGATGATCTTTTTCATTTTTATAGGAAAAACATACAGTACATGTTCGATATGTGTTGTTATAAAACAAAGTTCTCTTTATTCATAATGTGTTGTGTTTATTTATTATTCTTTTTTTAGTAGTAGTTTAATGTTCATATTGTTAGCACACACTCCAGGAGGGAATCTACTAAGCCCTGTTTTTGATGATGTAAAAAAGACCTTGCTTGTAGGCAAGATAATTCACCTAACATACAATTGATAAAAGGCTTACAATATGTTCTAAACATGTCAAATTCATTTCAGATTCAACAGAATGAATTTCAATGAAGCTGAATTCAAGACAAAAGAAATGCCAGTCAATAAAGGACAATAAAAAAACGCATCTGTAAAATTGTACAATATCATGTTACTGGAAGATTTCGGGTCACGAACTGGAAGACAAACCCAATCTTTAACTGTTAGAGTCAAGACATTTTTTATTTTATTTAAAGTGTCATGAAACAAAGTGGCCGTGCAGCTACTTATTATAATGATTGAGCAAAAGGTTAAACAGGAACATCTGTCTATCTAAAATAGTGCTATTGTAGACGGTAATTACATAATGAGTACATAATGTGTAGTTGCTCAATTGGTCTTATTTTATATTTTGGTTTTCAGTTCCTCTGCAAACATTACTATTAAGATGTCCCTTAGTAAATCAATTTCCTAACTTAACTACTGTAAAAGTGTCCTCTACATCTCACCTGACAATAGCACAAATGGATTTCTCCCTCAACTAGTTCTCCTTCTCTGATTTAAAGCTGGTATGTACTAAAAAGTTCAAATCAAATGTGTTAACGGTAACCTGTCTATAAGATACACAACATCTTTCCGTTTACGTTGCAATTTCACTTCTATATAAGCTAGTCAGATTCAAATATCTTAAAGCCACAATAAAAGGAATACACTGTCAGATATTAAGTACATGAATGGTGAGGGTTCAATCTGTTTCTACCATCATCTATTCAATAAATCCAAAATCAATATACATTTTTTGTCATGGCTTTTTACGGTATCTCCCCCTTACTGCTAAACTAAAAGTATGTTTCAATTGAGTATCTGCATTACCTACTTCCCTGTACTGTACTGTGTCTAAGTTCATCAATGAGGATGTGATTCTGTATAAACAGCACTTTAAGAGAAGGTATTAAACCAGAACCACAGAAATAAGGATGAGTTACTTCCTCATTTGAGTGTTTCTGCATTTTCTGTTTTAATATAACATATCATGATCATTTGTTGCTAGTGGCAGACAGATAGAATAGACATATTGATTTAACTGACCTGGTACTCCTGCCTTTAACCACGGGGAGATGTCTGTCCCTTCTCCGTGTGCCTCCAGTTTGGTCGTATTAATGGGAGCCAACAGTTTAACCACTTCTGCCATCACCTGTTGGTACGGATACAGTTTAGTGCTTTTTCACACAATCTGTTTTCAAACAAGGCTCGCTCAAATTTAAGTATTCTATTTCAGAGATTTACTAATGTTTACATTACATGGCCTTTGTTATTCAGACACCATACTACAAACCCATTGTAAATATTAAGAGACCATCTAACCGCATGAATAAAAGATGAGTCATCCTGTGGTTACATGGATTTTCAGCATTTACATGCTCAATAGAGACTATACTAAGGTTACTGTAAATGCAAGGTTCAATCTGGAGTTTAAAATGTTCAATCTAGGAAGTCAAACATAAAACATCACATTTACTGGACTGATCACTAATTCACCAAACCTTCCAGAATCTTGTATTTTAAAAAATACAGACTTTTTAACCTGAATAAATCAATTCTGATAATCTTGTGACCTGTTTTTCAATCCTAACCTTTCGTGCTGCATCACTGCCAGTAAACTGCAGAGCCTCCGGGGTAAATGTCCCCATGTCAGACTCCATGACCAGGTCAAAGTTTGACATGTTCACCTGTGTGGGAGAGAAGAAGAACATAGGGGAAGGGGACTGAGCATGGTGAAAGCATAAACACATAAAAAACAAATGTGTGTTTATAAAGATAAAACAAAAATCCATATTCAGTCCGTGACCAACTGTATGATCTTCATAAGAAACATCCTGCTTCTTACCAGTAGTAATGATAAGCTTTACTTCTTTTCCTGTGAGTTTTCTGTCAGGTACTGCAGTAGTAGTATACAGTACCTTGTGTAGATCAAAGTATTGCTGCGCCCCGACACCCCCCTGCTCCTCAGCGGTCCACAGCACCGCCCGCAGGGTTCTCCTTGGACGCAAACCTGGAAATAAATTAAGATTCAAATCAACACAATAAGCTTGAAATAATTTAAGAGGAGAGAGACTGCAGCTCCAATTAACAAAACGGCCATGTTTAGTGATGAATGGTCTTTTTAACCTTTCTTTAGATAACTAGTAGGCTATATATATTCCAGACTACAACACTTTTCATCACTGGATCTGATTCTGTTGGTTTGATGATCAGGTCCCCACTTTTTCGGATGCATTATTTTGTCCAGAAGAATACTGTACTGTATATCCGAGCGTGTTCCCTTATTCTGTGTGTCTTTGTTCCTCTACAGTTGGAGGAAATCACTGTTTACAGTCGGAGGAATTGTTTTGTAACTTGTCCCTTAGTCGGAAATGGAATACTTCCTTTTATAGTATGCACTAACTGGCCATTGGAGTTTGTTGAAACACCCATGTAGAAAATGTAGTTTTGCTCCATTTGATTATGGAGCTTTAGTATATTCTGCTTTAGTAAATTGTCCTACCAACTGTTAGAGTTGTTGTCATTTGTTTAAAAAGAAGACTGTTGATCTTTGAAGAGCAAACAGGTTGCATAAAGCTAAATAATAAAGTCAATCATTTACTTGACATTGTTTGCTTCTGAGCTTGTGTAGGCTTGCTGCCGTCTGTATACTTTGGATCTATCTCTGCAGTATGAAACATTGTTCGTTTTGTGGAAGTTTATCTGGACGGTATATTTGTTTATACAGTGTCTCTGTTTCTATATTACCTAATTCCTTGATGAGTGACAGGGCCTCCCAGGAAATCATGGCTCCGCCTCCATCATCCATGGCGCCCTGACCCACATCCCAACTGTCCAAATGGCCGCTCAGTAAGACAACCTAACAGAATATATAAATAAAGAGATACATAAAAAAACCAAACAATACATTTGACACTGTGATGGGAGACTTCTGCTAAGTGCTTATGAATGTATCCTGAACTTTTTTTCTCTGGATTGAAGTGTGAGAGAATAGCACCGGATAACGCTCTCTGAGCTGGTGATGCTTTTTGACAACAAGGGCAGAGGAACAGAGTCACAAAGACAACAACAAAAAAACAAGACAAAACACACACAGGTCAGAGAGATATCCACATTTCCAGGAATGTAGAGGGGTGGGATTCCCGTCAGTGGGATGATCCTGACCCGATGTTCCAGGTTACAAAACAAAACGAGCCCACTCTGGACCATGACCCAGATGCCACGCATTCCATTACACTGGGAGGAAATGTTTCTCTTCTTATACAACTATTATGTGTTTTTAGCCAAGCTGGTGGCGCGGCTTTGAGGCCGGCACCACTTAGGTCCAGACTGAAATATCTCCAATAACTATTTGATGGTTTATCTATACATTTTGTACACTTGACTATTCTATTAGCACCCCCACTAGGTCAAAGCGTTTGCTTATCCAGTGATTAATCTGCACGTCTACAGAATTTACCCATTGCACACTTAGATTTATGATCAGTGCAAATCCCAATCAATGTCAAGTACCACAAATAGTTATATGCCGTAACTAAATAACAGAAGCCTTAACACCAGGAGATAAAAGATTTAGAAAGGAAAAAAGGCCGAAGATGTCGAAATTAAGTGGGTGGAAAAAGTCCTAGCGACTCATCACTCGCAGATGACCGACTGGATATGAAAAGGCTAAACTGTGGAAATGACTCACCAAACCTCAAATGTACATCTTTCTGTTAACTGGGCACACACACACCGCACACACACACCGCACACACACACTCACTTCAACCACAGCTGATGCTACTGCCAGCTGAATCAACGTCCAAGAGCCAAAAATGATGTCAGCTATGACATTTGTTTTATTTCCCTTTTCTATAATGTGCGACCAAACGTTGGTTACTTAACAGACTGTTCAGTTAGCAAAGAAAACCAGAGTAATGTTTTAAAAAAAGAACATCACATGAATTACACATATTTAAAAATGCTGTAATATGTTTAAGCAATAGCTCACGACAGGCCGTGGTATATGCTCATTATATCACAGCTAAGGGGCGTGGTTCGGCCCGACGCAAAGCTACATTTTACTACACAGAAAATATCATAACAAATAACATTGGGCGCGAAAAATCACGGTTGAGGAGGTTGAATTGACAAGTAATAGTCTGCTACTAGTATTGCTATACTACTATGTCTCAAAAACGAATATTAGATTTCTTTAATGGCCCCAAAGCCAAACAACCAAAAAACCCTATCGACTCGGAGTCCCTGCAGGTGGACACAGACAACTGTCACTCCAGCAACCCGGAGGAGAGAACACCCGCGGCCGCGGCTCTTGTTAACGACGTTGCCCCCTGTCCAGCAGCTAACAACAACTCAGTTGCCCTCGGTGAAGAGCCTTGCCAGCCCAAGGACTTTACATTCCCTGCCAGGTGGTTTGGAAAGGAAACATTCACCCGATCCTTCAATTCAGGCTGGTTTAAACAGTGGAGCTTCACTATATAAAAGAAAATGATAATGCGGTGTGCTTCTTCTGTTGCTCTGCAATAGAAAAGACGCTCGTCAGTGCAGACAAGAACAGGGATGGGAGTTTTGTTAAAGGAGGGTTTAACAACTGGCGAAAGGTAGGGGAAAAATGTAGGGAGCATGAGAAGTCCCATCAACACACGGATGCGCTGCTCTCACAAGCTGTTGCTAAGGAACAAATGACTGAACAGACTGTGACTTATTTCCACCACCCCTGAACGCAAGACCACCTTTGGTGTTGTGTAGCCTATGCTATGTGCGCGTGAAGAGAGAGTCAGAGAGAGTGAGAGAGAAGTTCAGAGTTACTCATTATTAATATTTTCGGATGGTTGCTCTGTGTTCACTTAAATAAAATAAATAAATACGTTCATTTAGCACTTTTCTAGCATATCGCACAGCCGAATTCACATAAATGTGCAATTGTGTAAAATGTGTAAATTGTCACTGTTAGAAACCTATGATTATTCATGTAGGCCTATTCCGTTTTAATCTGTTTAATCTCTGTTAACTCTGCATCTGTTATTGTTATAAAATCCGGTGCGCAGTGCGCACTATAAAGTTCAAGTGCGTTGTTATTGCTACCCGGCTGCGTCTCAATCAACAATAAATCGTCTTCTGATTAGAAAAAAACCTGTGAAATCCCCCCCGCAAGCCCACACCCCCAGCTCTGACTGACTTCCCGCGTCCCTGATCTGATAGAGAACTGTAGCAGATACGACCGTTATCGTCCTCGTGTGGCTGCAGCCTTAAACCGCGCACCGCTCTGTAGTGGAAATGCGCAACAAGCAGGGTGGAAGTTCCATGCAGGCTTTAAATGTGTGAAACATGGAAATGGTAAATGTCAGTTTGATCAAATCTGATGTGAAGCTTTCCAACTGTTTTCTTGCTATGCTGCAGTTTGTTTCAGTCACGTTTCACCTCTCATCTTCACAAATCAATGCAGCTACAAATTACATACCTTTCTCAGCTATTTAGTAAATGCTAGTTCAACCCGACTGGGAATCTCCCTGTGGATAGGGAATGTCTAACCTGCTACTCTTCCACTGTTAGGCAGATAGAAGCAACAGCTTTGAGCCGACAGTAAGGGACCGCCACACAGTTTTCGTCCAAAGACTCCACGTTAAATCTCTCTCACAAGTGCTAACTTTCTACCCACCCCGGGCAATGTGTGACACTGCCCTGAACCCATTGCAGCATTCAAGCCCTATCCACTGAATAACAGAACATTATTATTATTTTTATCATCATACTGCCTCCTCTGCAAAGTAGTAGCATTGTTTAAAAAAAGTATGCAGCAGCACCTTGTCTGTTGATCAGGTTCTACCTGCTAGGCGTGCCCACATACTGTATGTGCTAATGGCCTGTGTGTCATTGTGTGACACTGCACTGCAAGCTGGTCCAGGTAAATATCTGATACTGATCTGGATGGTGATAGGCTTCTGACTCAGAGCAGGGATATTTTCCACCCTCCGTGATTTAAGAGAAATAGAAAATAAAATGCATGTAAGCGTCTCTCTGCATGTGTCTGCTCTGTGAAACACTGACCACCTCTCTAGGGTGCATGACACTTTTGCACAATACATGCTGTCATCTGACTATTGTATTCGTTTTGCATTTGAATACCTCTGCTATGCAACTTCCCCATTTACCAACGTGTTTTATACTTAGCATAGTAGTTTTAATTTAAAAAGTCTCAAAATGAAAAGAATACTAATAATAGGAACATACACCCTAAACTAAATTGAAATCTTATCTTCACAAATCAAAACTATGTTTGTACCATAGGGGATAGGTTTCAGCAAGTCTGTAATTTGAGTTGAGCTGAAGCCAAGGCAGCAACATTTCTTATGATTTTTCAAAGACGTCAAAAACAAAAAAACTACATTTATTTTCTTTAAAATCATAAAAAATCGACATGTCTCTTAAAACCAGCCTTGTTTTCCCATCACAACATTATTCAAAGTGACTGAATGAAAGGGACAAATCTAAGGATTTTCCACAGAGCTGAGCATCAGCACTTTTCTGGACAGATTAGATAAGATATGGCAAAATAAAGGCAGACTGTGCAATATCTGAAGTCGGACAAAATAATTGACTTCCTTCCTTAGTTACTTTCCTCACCCTGCTAACCCGTGAAGAAGAGAGAGGGAAATACGCAAGAGAGAGACAAGAACATAATGACAGTGTTTTTCAAGACACTTGTTTTCCGTACAATTCATTCAAAAGGCCGACCCTAATACCCTTTCCCAAACACTAAAAGAATGGAAAAGAAAGACCATTGCATGAACAGGTAAATAAGTCGGAAATGTAGAAGTTTGAGGTCTACCTGCTCAGGGTGTTCCCAGCCTGGTATCTCAGCCACTGTGTTGAAGGAGTCAGCATCCGGCAGAGTCTTGGCTCCCATTGTGAGTCTGACCACGATCCTCTGCCCTCTCTGAGCCATACGCCACATCAGCTCAGCATCCTCCACGGTGATACAGGCAGAAGGGATGCGCTTTACTCCATCTTGGTAGTCCTGCAAACCTGTGTGGGGACTAGAGAGAGACAGACGGTATGGATGGAGAGACATTTTCATACATTTCCTTGTAGAAAGATGGTGTTGATGAAACTTTATTCTGAAATATTTCTTACATCACAAAAGGTACATTTTCAACATAAACAAAGACAAAACATTTGAGACCATAAACAAGGATATTTAGATAGATAGATACCTGTTAATAGAGAATGGCGTAATAGAGCGAATGAGCGTGGCCACAGCCCCCACTTTGGCTGCCTCAGAGGCGCCATAAGCACGGTAAGCCACCGTCTCCCCGTAGCTGACAAATGGTTGGTTAAAGACTACAATCCTCCCAATTGCTTCGCTGGCTCTTTGCTTCAGTTCATCAAAAGACTGAACTACCAACACCTCTGCCTTGATACCTGGAGAGATAAGAGAGAAACATAGAGGAGTAAATGGAGGTGGATGAAAGGTGTTAAAATGATTGATAGAGTATGATCTTTACCCTCAGGTGGTGTCCCAACACTGCTACCAAGTCCCAGTATAGCCAGACTTTTGGCCCTGGGTGCAATCATTTCTGCACTCTCCTTCCCTCTCACCCAATGTGGGATTTTGACTGGCTCTGGGGAAGAAAAGTGGCAAAAACTGTTACTGTCCCATAAAGCAGAGTGCAAGACCTCTCTGAAAAAGCAAGCATCCCAGTGAGAAAGATAATAAAGCAATCTCACCTAAATGTACGTCCAACCCATCCTGTGTCATAGCATTGTACATGTATTTAATGGCCATCTCCAAGTTCTGTGAGCCACTGACACGGTTCCCGATGGTGTCGGTGAAGTCGGCCAGCCGTCTGTAAGAGCGGTTCTGGGCAGCTCCAAAAACAGCCAGGTCAATTATCTGTTTGGCCACATCAGCGTAACCTGCTACCTCTGCAGCTACGTCTGAGTCTGGGATCACAGAGAAACACACAAGAAAGAACTCAATATGTAATCCTTTTTTTGTTTATCCACCATGTTTTTTAACTTTTTAAAAGCCTTTCAGTCCAAAAGTCAGAATGCAAAACTAGCGTGTCTTTGTCACTTGAGTAGATACATTGAGTGTGGAGGGGATGACTGAGTCTGCACTTCATATCATTCTACAATAAATAGACCGGTGTGTAGGCAATGTCTTATATATCCAAAAATTGAGAAGAGAGAATCACAGGTTAGACATTTAGCATATATGTTAAACAATGGGTTCCTGTTAATAAAAACATTCACACCCTTAGTCAATCCACAAAGATGTTTTCATTGACGTTGTCTGGCTATATATTTTCTCAAGACTGTAAGGGTGTGTACGGAATGCGCTTGATTAACAGCTTATTCACTCTCCTATTGAGTTGCACAGGGCGGGACTGATTCCTAGCAAAGCTTCACCACACTGTAACCTGTTAATATGTCCAACTAGCCAGAGTCATTGCAAATATGTGTGGTTCTGCATGGCCTTGAAGGAAAATTAACCTCTTTGACCAAATAAATAAATAAATCATTTCAAAACTGATTCCTATACATAAACATACCTCTATTATTACTGCATGTCTGAAGGTAGGAGGGTTTGGGTTACCTTTCCTTGCAGTATGATTGGATACAGCCATTGACCTCATGGACCCAGCAGATTGAGGGTGGCAGTCACACAAAGATGATAGCATGGAGAGAAACATGAAGAGAGAGAGGAGAGCCATCTGCAAATAGAACAACGTAGGCCTACATATGATTAATAGCTTCTTAATTAATCTCTGACAGGAAAATTACTAACAGGCTCATACTGACAACACGAGACACTACAGTATTTTAAGTTTGTGCAAGTCGTTTAGAAACTTGATCTGTATGCCAACGGTTCGGAAAATAACCAACAACCGAATGCTGTATGAGCTCAGAGAGTTGGTTTCAAATCACGAGTTTTCATACTGTAACACAGCTACAATTAGTTTCGGTTTGGATACTGAGAGCAGGGCATAGGCAGTGTATATGGAGCAGGGTAAATAATGTTAAAATTGTACAGCTTTACATTCAGTTAGGGCTCGACAACGTAAGTAGTAGCGCGAGCCATCAATTGAAATTCACCACTAAAGTAAGATAACTTTACGTTATACCGTTATAACACAGTCACATTCACACCGCTTTATCTACAAATAAGAAACGTTACGGCAGATGAAAGTCCTAAAAGTAACATTAGCTGATTTAATCATATAACTTCATTTGAAATATCCATAACATATCACAAACACTAACCCTTTAGGCCTAGTAAGTGTCGTTGTTAAAGTTGACTTTATACTGTTTGCTAGAATGCCGGAAAAACATAAACATTTCCGTGCTCGTGATTTCAGCGTGCTAACAACGTAAACTTCCGGTCCCGCTGTTTTCACAATAAAAGCACGATCTTTACAAATTAAAGGGTAGAGTTTGAGTTTAAACATGGTTTAAACCATAGACTGGTTTAAACCCCAAATTATTTTCATATAGAATAATATATTAATGAAAGACCTCATGGTAATCAGCCTATTCAACAGCAAGGTATGCATTGTAAAACTACTAAGAATTACTCCAGCACCACAAGACCGTGTACTTTCGTCATCAGAACAAGCCGGTACACGCCGTCCTCCGAGCTGGATAACTTCTGTCTGTAGCCCAGAGCTCAGGGACCGTCTACAAAGTGCAACGCCAAAAACGACATTCTACAAAAATATTTCCCCTTCATAAAGTTCTGACAAAATCACTTCCCCTGTTGTTCAGTGCAGTACTACCAAACTCACATAACACCAAAATGTTACTTTACAAATTAATGGTTTACTACGTGGTATATCATACCACTTATTGTGTGTGAAGTTTTGTATATTATTTGATTTCCAAAGAAATAGCAAAAATATCATTACATAACATTATTAATTAATTAACCCGAAGGCATGAAAATAACCAAGGCTTTAATAAAAAATTGCATTTTGACGTTTGTTGTGAATTTGTGCCAATTGCAGTGGTCTCTGAAAAGCGAACAGTGCCACAATACGCCACTGTTGGAATGCGTTCATTAAAAGTGTTTTTTCTCCCGTTTAATAGTTTAAAACGCCACTATATTTATTTTTTAGAAAACACATTTTTGCTTATAACACTTGATGGTAGCCTAGAGGTCAACACATCGGTCTTACATGTGGGGGCCCGGGGTCAAACAGCCATTGATAACATTTCCACATCTCTTTGTCAACAATTTAAGTTGCCAAATAAGTGTCCAGTGTTTGGTATGTATTGTATCGACACTGCAGAAAATATAGCACTTCTCTGCCAACATCCCAATCTGCGGCGTTCATCCCTGTTCTCTACCACTAATCTTCTGCATTCCACTGCAGCCATTGGCATTCACTGTCAATGTCCCAGCCTGTGAGAAGGGTCAGATGAGATCTATATTTATTTGTACTTTCCTTACACCCTACTATGACCTTAGTATCTTACTTTATTTTTGAACTTATGTACAGAAGTTAAACTCCTGTTTACTTTCAGCGATTTGCTTTTTACATAATGATATATGACATCCAGTGTGTGTTTTGGAAAACAGCTCAGCGTTTGGCTCCACTCACATGCTGCTGACGTGGTTTAACACAGTAGATTGAAACCTTCTTTTGGCACCTCAATTGTAAGAGGATGTTTCTTGAGGCTGGGAGGAAAAGAATGTCTGCACCACTGTGCAAACAAGTAGAACAAATGCTACAACAGCTTTTACCTGCAACTACATCTAACACGTCATAATACCATGCTCAATACTAACTATAAGTGTCTGGACATTAATCTAACAATTGGATTGCTGTTGAACAATTTGCTTAAGAGTCTGTTCTTGGTTTGGCCTTTTTCACATAATATAGATGTTCTAAATTAGTGTGTGCAAATATATAATTATTGCCTGAGAGGTAAGTACACACTGATATATTGTGTATGCTTAATGGAAATATATGTAGAGTGGGGATGAATGAGAAGCAGGTCAATAACACAAAGTACAAGGACATGAGGTTTTTAAACATCAGCACACATGCTAGGGAGTGAATAGAATCAGTCCTGTTGTGTCGGTTATAAGAGAGCAAAGAAAAGCTAAATAAAGACAACGAGACAATATTAGAATTGCATTAAAGTCACATATTTTATGCAGTAGTGATCCTCATAAAATACAAAATGTTAGCAATACACTTCTCTATTGGCCACCTCATGTGCTTATCTTATCCGAGCATAGATTTTTGGTTGGTCTCCACCATGTTTATGTGTTAAAAATCAACGATTCAGCTAATTCATTATCAACTTTGATTACTATGACAATTAAAGCTTCAATATATTTACAAGTAAGTTATTAATCTACTAAAAATTATCCATATAAAAAACATATACAAATAAAAACATCGACAGTTGATAATAACATTGAATTAAAACCAAGCATGTCAAATACACTACAAATATTTGAAAACAAAACTGAGCAGTAGGCACAAAGAGGCTTGGGAATGAGTAAAAACTGAACAATTTTAAATGTATCACTGACATAATGAACCTGGATTTAGTCTAAGCAAGTATAAATTAATACATATCAATTATAGTATCATCAGCATACTGTATACACTTACAGAGACCCCAGACAGAAAAAGGTTATTGTATGTAATCACCTGTTGATTGCTAGAAAGTGCTGACCTGTTATAACTCTGTAGGAGTAGGGTCTATGTCAGACATCTTTCTGATATTTATGATGGTATGGATGTCCAAAATGTCCCTTTATCCTGAAATCCAGTTGAGGTTCTGTGCAGCTCGTTCAAAACAATTGATAAAATGTATAGAAAAATGTGTTGTGAGAGTTCAAGTGCCTCACGTATCATGTTACCAACAGTAAGTCACAGTGGGATAGTTATAAGAAGTCTTGTTTTATTCCAGCCGTTTGCGTTTGGAAAATCTATTATTACTTTAAAATAATGTGTTCCATTATGGCAAAGTATATCATGTAAACACTAATAAGTAGGGCTATAGGACAACAAATTAATGTAACCGCATTCACTTCTACTGACGTTAGATGGCCTAATAAAGACAATCAAACTTTTAACGGACAAAAAAAAACACCACTACAAATTTGACTTTAAACTCAAAATCAACAAAGTCTCATAGTGTACAACTTAATCCAAACTCTTTGTATCTATAGATCACTGATCAGTCATTTTGATGACCAAAGGTGGTTACAAAAATTATTTGACTTTTTCCAAAGATTATAAAGCCAAAGATATGGCTACTTCAAGACCTTTGCCATAAGAGACGTGAAAAGGTTTGCTCTGTGACACATAAGGTAGCTGGCTGGTGATAAACTTCAAAGAGGGCTATGTAAACAAATAAAAAAGGCTGTATACAAGTAAGATTGTTACTTGTGTGTCATTCTCCTTTGGTTGGCTAGTTGAGGTAAAGATTCATAATTAGAAAACACTTGTTTAAGACCCGACACTCTCATATTATAACTTATGTAAAATTAAGTAAATAAATAACTGACTCGTGGTGATCATGTCAGTAACGTTGTCACTGTTTTCATAGCTGCTGTTGAAGCTGTACAGTTGACAGTCACAGAGGAATGTGCTTTTGCCACTTCAGAAATCATTGGTCACTTCTACACTTCCTGAATTATAGTAATCAGCCTTGGCTCTGCCTTAGCAATCACCAAAAAGATAGTCCTGAAAATAAATCTAATGTGTGAAGCAAGGTTGAAGGCATACATAAGGCTATCACTGTATGAATACAACAAAATACTAAAGTCTCCTTTAAAAATGGCTTATAGAAATATAATCTTTAAACATCAAACACGTGGAAAAAGCCACTAAAAAATCTTTTTCCAAAAGACAAATAAAGCACGTTTATATTTGGTCATGTCTATAAGCGTCAAATATCTGTGAGGAAACAACAAAAAGATGTACCTACAGAGTAACACAATCTCTCATACCAATACTGGACAGCATAAAAAAAAAAAAAAACATGAATTCCTCAAAACAATAAAAATAAAATTAAAATAGAATTCAGCGAAGAAAGCGTACAGAAGATGAAATGTAATAATAAAAATGTCAACAACATCGAAGATTTGACCTCAAAAAGAGGAAGAAGGGTTTACATTTGTTAAGGCCCCTTGTAATAATATTCCTGTAGTACCATTTTATTTAACGGCATGCAAAACGCATGAAGGCTATTATATTTACTTCCTAAAGGTTGGCAAGCTGATCCGGGACAGTTCAGGCTGTAGCTCTGTGAAGGGAACAACTGATCTATGTGCAGAACAAAGTCCAGCCCACTGCGGTTCAGCTAACAGAAGTAATGTCTAAAAGCCCAGTGTTTTCAGTTAATTACCTTCCTAGACTAGAACAGTTGTGATTTATTGTGATATGCAAACTATTTCTCCACTGAAATTGAGGATGTGCATTCAATCTGTAACTCTTTCTCCAGAATGGAATGATGGGAATGTTTTTTAAGTCTTATTTCTTCCCTTATGAGCTCTTCTTGACCAACACTGAACATCATATGGCGACATGTGAAACGGTAGCAGAGGGGAAAGGTAGGAAATATGCAGGGAAATGTTGGTAGCGCTGAAGAAAAACAGAGGAACTTGACTTCATCTTCAGTTGTTTAAAGATCCATTTGAGTCCTGATTGAGAGGAGTCAGACTCCATTGAAAGTCTTTATTGGTCTGTTTAGGCGTAGAACTCCTTGGTAGACGCTTTGTGATAGGCTGTTGTTGAAACTTTGTTGTCCCCCAGGGCGTAGCTTCCTTCGTCCTTCTTCTTCATACGGTAGGCGAGGAGGAGGAGGAGGAAAACAGCAAAGAGGAATCCAACTACTCCGCATGCTATAACCGCTGGAAATGGCATGAAAAAACGAGGTTGAAATACATTTCTGATGGATAATCTTAACATACAAAAAATGGTTTATCATAAATAACCTCATCTGTTTAGTCTTTCAATTCTCCCAATGAATAACCACATTAAACTAGACACATGAGAACAATAAGGGAAGTCATAATCTGTCCTTACCTGCCAGCACCTCCGTCCTCTCCCACATGTTCTCAGAGGTCACCTCTTCAGGAGCCTCCATGTCATACATTCTGCTGCCGTGGCCATTATTTGGCACAATCTCGTTTTCGTGCTGTACGATCAGGACTTCATTTTCACGGTTTTCCGTTACCGAGTCATCCAAGCTGCCCAGACTGTTGTCCTCGCTGATATCTTCGATTACAGTGATATCCATGCCGAATTCGGTGTCAGTATTTTTAGTGGTAGGCATGTTGGTGGAGCTGGTCATCTGTGTGAACCAATCAGCAGTTGGACCTG